GGCGTAGGCAGTGCTGTAAATGCTCTAGAATGTACAGAGGGATAGAGCAAGCGCCTATGGTACCCCCAGATTGATATTTTTCGGGGCTTTAGTAACATGTAATGGATGAAAAGTAACAGACTAATTTTAGCTGCTGCTCTGGTGTTACTTGTCCTAGTTCCGCGTCTATATAATTGTACCAATTCCAAGATTACATCGAAGTTCTCATTAGCATTACATTGACTCGCACTTACGTTACATCTATATCGTTTGACTTGCATACGATTCTTTCTAGGGTTCTTTTTCTTCTGCAGTTGTGCTTCGCTGTCTTTGCTACTGTTACAGTATCGTTGCTGCGTCTTGCCCTTCTTCTCCTCGATTCTACTTGAAATGCCCTTAACTGGGTTGTGTCGATGTTGATGGGCTGTCAGTCGTCGCTGCCGTGGTTGTATCATCCGCGAGGGCAGCTGGCTTGGTCTCAAGCGAGCAGTTTATCTTCATTGAACGACAGAGGTCGCAAAGAGCTCGAGCGTAGGAGTTGTCAAGCCTTTGATGACTAAATCTAGCCGAACGATAGCAGTACATCCTAACAAAAACTCGTACGAATTCCGGCCTTGCTTAAGCTTTTGCCTTCGGTTGACTGTCCTATGCCTTGAAAAAGATCAACGGTAAATAACGGATAGTGGTAAACTGCGGTCTGAACGCAACTAAAAGGACTACCCTTGGGTCCGAATCAATCACTCATATGCCATCATTCTCCGGTCAGCATATTTGATTGGTTGATTATCACGCTCCGTTATCGAAAGGTTTTACTGCAACGGGTCCCTGAACCATGAACGTTCATCGTTGGTAATTTACAGTTCTTTTTCAAAGTTCAAAAGCCCCTTTGCCATTATGCGCCCTTCGTAGCATTTATATATATATATATACATGTATATATTGCCAATGTAAGGTGCATGAGAGGGACGTAAAAATCACGAAAAAGATACTAATTTTCTGAATCCAAAGTATAGCTCATTGGTATTTAAAAATTCAGCGATAAATTAACTTTAAGTTGTCCATTGAGAGTAATCTTCTTATGTTCATGAAAGCGTTCTTCTTTTTTGTTAACTACGAGGCTGATTCTCTTTGACGAAATTGTTCATTTTCTTATTACATTTGTTATTATTAATTATTATTAACCACCATGTGGCCTTAAGGAATCGCAGGTAGTTTTGCTCCGACCGCTTCAGTGGACTCACCATCAAATATATTTGATTTTACCAGATATATGAAGGATTACTCATTTGACCATAGTGTACGCTTAGCTAACCATTTTTGTCAATGCTAACGGCTGACTGATTGCGTGACTATTAGGAATGTTTCAAGGTTATGGATCGGTCTGTTCCTTCCAATTCTGTATTTTTCTCTGAAGTGACCTCATGCTGGACAGCTCCTGAGGAGGTCACGTGCGCAAACGGCAAATTTATGAAGATGTCTCAGATGGCAGCACCATACCCTAACCAAATAATCACGCTCTTTTTAATATGTGCGACAACAATTTGCAAAGTGGAATAACGGTTTATGTGAGTGTGAGCGTGAACTTACTGCCACTTGCACAGAACATTTATTTTTTTAGGTTGTAATTAGGATGTTGCGACGCTTGTAGGCTTGTCGTCAAGTCCAACAATATCAATGTATTACATAATAATACTATTCAAATTAGAAGATTCCAAGGAAAAAGTAGGCAAATACGGTCATATATTACATGTGCATGAACAATACTAAGCTCGAATAAGCAAGGAACGTTCTAGAGTTTTTTTTTTTTCTATATTTTTCCTATTTGCTGGATTTTGCTTAACTCAATATTGTCTGTCTCATTTATTCACAAACGGTGTGAAATTCTGTTGCTGCAGGGAATATTCGGGAATACGTCTGAAAATACGCATATGTAGAATGCGAAAAGAACAAGTCGGCCTTGTCAACATCCATTACTCATTTTTGACACAAGATCAACGAGAAAACACAAAATTCTATCTGTATATGGAGACTTGAACGCTGTTTACATACATGGCTACAAAAATTATATACTGCTGGATCCATAAAGAATTGGCAGCTGTCAAAAAGAACACCCCTAAAAGAAAAAAGCGAAATTGGAATAATGTAGAAATTACGAAAGAGTGGCTCCATCAAAACACTATTACAATCGACTAGGCTGTGACCTATAAATGAATACATAGTGCTCCAGCTTCAACTAACTTGCTGCTGCTGTTGAGAAAAAGCAGTCCCCTCCCCCTGTCAGCCTTCCCCTTGTATCCTCAGGGCAATGGGTTGCCACCAACGAATTTCGTTTGGTGTCGCCTGCTTTGCAGCGCATTGCCTCTTGGCTCCATTGCCCCGCTGCTGTAACAAACGGTAGCAGCTGTCGGCATCTGTTCGACTGCGGTACGTTCTTCTCGTGGTCGTTTGTGGATCGCAAGTAACACAATTGGCCAGATCGGCGGAATCAGTAATATATATACCCATTGGTAGTAACATAAATCTTGCAGTAGCCTCATTATTAATAGTGGTGGCTGTGTTAACTAGACTGAGATACAGTGGGACGGAGCGAATAAAGATAGTGATATTGCCATACAGTTGCTATTCTTCAAGGACGGCCATTTGGTCAAGAGCAACTTCACAATGATTCCAATGAAAAACAACTAAATAGATTGAAAGAAACTATTCTTTATTACAATCTTTATACATTTAAGTTGCCACTAAATAAAATGGGCTTTCTTGACTTTCTTCATGGTAGTTATTCGTTTCACCAGGTTTGTTTTGCCCCCTAGGAAAATTGTGTTTGGCGGCGGGGCAGATTTTTACGTAAGGTGCGTACAAACAAGCAAAACTGCCGCCTATAAGAGACCGAGAGAAAGAGGTAAAGAACACTGTCTGCTGCAGTACTTGGAATGAAGGCATCATTAGCCGTTGTTTCGACACAACTGTAAACTCTGCTTGTTTCTGGGAAATTATTCCAAGATTTTTTTGAACTTCAAGTGCTTAAAAAGGATTTGTTAGACCTGTAGTTTATGTCAAATGGCTTATGCCTCGTTACTACAGAACTACCTAACTAATAACGTAATTGCATTGTCTACGGATGACTCCGGTGAGCGACTGATCTCCAGGCGGGATGACGTCGAATAGTCTTGTAGGCAATACTTAATTCCACTTGACCGCTTTTCATAGAAGTATGTAAAAATGTGCTATGACAATCCACGGACGACAGGTAAACTTAAGCTTTTAGGGATAGGGTTATATGTATGTTGAAAACTGACTGAGTAAGTGCTATCAAGAAAGCTTTCTTTAATGATATTTTGTTTAAAAAAATATTAGATGTGTTAAATTTGTTTTGAAAAAAAACTTATTTAAATGCATGTAATTGTTTCTACTTCGCGTTTTGAACTTGAAGCGTTCAATATTTTGAAGTTGCTCCTGACTAGGTGGTCGTCTCTGTAGCTGGTAAAGGGCTGCAAAAAATAGATGATATCAATAGCGAAATGTCTGATACACTGATAGGTTTATTAGCAGCTGCCTCATTCTGATGAAGCTAACGCTTTAAGAAATCAATTCGTGAAATCTAAAGGATACTGTTGTATTTATTTTAGGGCACCGTAAAATATCGGGAAGGACATTTAAATAAGTGTACTCAGAATAGACATAACGTTAACGGTTTTATCCAGTAATATAACCGGGAATTCATGTTAAAAGCTGAACAATATTGCGTTATAGTAAAAAGGATACAAAGATTATTTTAGAAATCGGAACATACCTTATCCAAAAGGACAGCACAGGCTTTCATTAACAAACCGATGTTCGAGTCGTGAGATTTTTTTAGGCCATAGCTTTTTCAATCATTGGATCAGGCTAAACCTGGCAGCTAATTAAATTACATAGAAAACTGTTCATAAACAACTTATTGCAACGAAAGCGCGTATATAACTATATAATGTAAATATTGATTTTCTAAATACCTACTGTCATTTTGTGTTACATATGTATACTCCCAAAAATAAAGGCGAGCACGTAAAAATCAACTTTTTGTAAGACTCCAGAGTGAAACACTACCAGTCCACCTAAAAATCAGGTTGGAATAATATCGATAGATAGTTTTAATCGATAACAACGGATGATGAGGAGAGTCACAATTCACCTTTAAAACAATTTTAGAAAAGTAGAGAGAAGGTAATTAATAAATAATACCGGTTTACTGTTCGGAAAATGGATAACACAAATAAAAATAACAATGCCATTTAAAGAGTATCAAAGAGATCAAAGATGTTGAACTCCATATATCATAAAACACTATATTTTTAGCAATTGTAAACAATGGCAACTACAGTTAGCTAAATGTTGCTTAGAATGCTTTGTAAACAAATTGAGTCCTAGTTTAAAAACAAAAATTAAAATATACATAGATATATACGATTTTGCGGGACTGTCAGAACGACAGTGGAAGCAGCATTTTTTTCTCGAAACATCAAGCCTAAAAAGCCATTGTCAACATAGTTTGGACAACATATATATATACATGTTTTTGCATTAGACTATAGAATAAGGACTCGATTATACACAGGTAGCCTGGCTCAGTCCGATGATGCTATCATAGATCTTAGGGTTGCAATAATATTGTAGGAGTATGTCACCTAAACAGAAAAATCAGACCCGTTGGTATTTGGGAACTGGGTCCGCAGGGTTTTGCCAATCAACTCAGCATAAATAGCAGATAAAACTAGCCCATGCGGACCCCCATGCAAGTAACCAGAGCGTTGAGAGTAATACCAGATACGCGTTTCCAAATGGTAATATTATTGGCGGATTCCCAAGAATGTATGGATTTTATACTGGACAAGTTTAGATATACGTGTATATATGAAGACTGCCAAAAATTTGAAAGTTTATTATATTTACACTTAATGCTTAAATTCACCCATGTTATAGGTATTACAGTCTCACAGCTTTCTTCATTTAGAATCCTTATTGTGGCCAACGCGGTAGAGTACCTTTAGGAGAAGTTGCATGCTTGACTCTTCCGCCATCAATCTGGTCCCATAGTTTGCCGCTCACCGACTCGGACACGTCATCCACAGAACTCGGGTTCTAACCTCCGAAGCTTAATCATCTTGTTGCTGTTGAGCTTTGAATAGCCGCTACTCTGCTCGTTGCTTCGTCCGATGTTTTTTCATTAGACACCGTCTTTTGCCATTAGACACAGATCCAGCCCACATTTTGCACTTGGAAACCACCCAACTATGTCGAAATCTTATTCCCGACTAATGAATTCTTGATCAAGATTTTCCCAAGCTTTTGCTTCCAAAATGCCAAACGCTTCAACATTCACAAGTTAACAATCCATCTATCGTCACTTCTTTTTCAGTACTACTAAACACTTAGCAACATCAGTTGCCCAGCACTCCCCAGGTATCCTCTTTGTGTGGTGAAAATCATATATAGCCTATCGCAGCCAGTACAGCACAATTTTCTGTAGCCTTGATAACTTATAAGTCAAGCCTCGTATCTTCTCACCGTGCTTTAGGCTCTTAAAGGCCAAACCTGTTCTCTAAAGCCTGTTTCAAGCGGCTAAGCCAGATGCTTCGTTTTCTGTTTCCCAACCAACGATATATAGGCTTCGTGTTGGGTCAAGCGCCTTCGACGCGTAAAAAGTAGCGAATATCCATCTGACTGGGTCTCCAGTGCTTGTAATTTGCCACTGACTCAAATGGCGTGCCGCCAGGTGCGATCGATCGCCCTAAAGGGCGCGTTCGTGGATCAAGCCTTTTATCAACGAACGGGTCCACACGTAGACAAACAAGGGTAAAACAAGCAAATGAGTCAGTGGATTTATATAAACCTAATATACTAGTCCGTATTTTATATATGTCCTAGGTCTTCATTCTGAGCTCCCGTCGGGTTCAAAGGAATAACTAGCTATAATAATCGGATTGCTGAAAAGCTATGTTACTAAGGACTTTATCGTCAACCGTGTGGAATTAGCAGAAAATATGAGACTATACTTCAGAAGTTGTTCGCTTAAAGATTGAATTTTATTTTTAAACCAAATACTGTAAGCTTCGGCGGAATTTCTATGCGCGTTTGTGTCGAAATTAGACTGCGATTATTTGATAATGTTTATTTCTATGTGTGAACATGCATAGACATAGGTTCGTCGATAGCTGACTTTACACTCCCTAAAAAAAGCTTTAGCAAGGCCAATAGTAAACGAATTATGATCTCTGATCTAGCTAACTTGACACAAAATAGTGATGAATCATCATCCTTTCTAGAAGGCGAGCATATCCTTAGTACAGTCGAATGATAAATTCCTTAACACAGAAGCATTAAGGATTCATGTAGCCTTATATTTGTCCCATATATCATGTTGCGGGCAAGATGGCATTATCTAACAAATTGGCCTTACGTGGATAAGGGTGTTTTTAATGTAAAACGAAACTGAACAAAAAATTTAAAAAAATATTTCCAATTACATTTTTGACGTAGCGTTTCATTCACTTCACAAATTAAAGGTCAGTAAGTTTCGTAACATTTACACTTTTTTTTTTTACATACATAGACCCACTGAGCATTTATCACCGAATACACGTTGTCAGCTTCCAAACTGTAGAAAGTATAATCCTATAAACTTACTTTTAAAGAAAACTTTTACAAAAAAGCCCAGTAGCCTTAAGTCACTAAAAAAAAGGCTATGGTATGACTGAAGATAATATTTGTCTAAGTTAATAATGTACGAAACAGAAACTGTTTTAGAATTCACGCCATGCAGTTACTCTATTTCTTTAAAATGCTAATTTATAATAACCTAGGGCTGATTATACGTCGTCTATATTAGCGGCTAGTTAAACGTCAGAATCAAGTAGATATATCAGACTCATTCGTGGTGGAGATCACCTTAAGTGTATTACTCACGTAATGCCATGTTCCTAAACCCAAACTAATTCCGGAACGATACAAAAAACCTGGAGGTTCGTATTTTGTTATATGTACCTATACATTAAATAAAAAAAAGAAAAAGCAAAAATACAACGATTGTGGACATGAATAAACTGTAAGTACGTGTCAACCAACGCAATGTTTTGAGAGAAACGTACGCTAACCTTAGGACTGAAAGTATATCCGTATTTCTCTGGGAAACCGAATACGCGACATGGAACAACCTGAAAAATGCAATTTGATTCGTTTGCGGAGGCAAAGTTTGCGTTATTTGCATAATAATTCATTCGCGACGTTCAAGTTATACTTTTTCTCAAAATTAATTAAAAGTACTCCTGTCAAACTATAAAAATGTTTTGCTTCAAGCATAGCAGCGTAAGCTCCAGCTGGACGTTACCCCAGAGCACGAGGCGCCCCGTTTGAAAACAATGAACAAGTTTATTTTGTTCAGGTAATTGTTTAACTAACGATAGAGTTCCTTATTCGAAGCCATTCTAAAATCACGTTAGTAGGATACTGCTGCTCCTGTTTGTATAATACATCTGAAAATAAACTTAGTCTTAAGCACGACCTTAAATAACAGACCCGCAGGGCGTCGCCGCCTTACAAAGATGTCACTTTTACCAAGAAACAACAGCGGGATTAAAGTTTGTAAAACTAACTTTCCTTTATAGCAGTATTATTCAAATCGATTCTGTTATTCCGGTGGCTTAGTTTAAACGAGGTACATCGAAGGTTAGCTCTAGCTAAGCTGTCAGCATATGTAAATAGAATATGAATCAATACAGGGAAGGACTGGTGGTAATAGAAAGACGGCAAGCCGCTTTTATCTGTAGGTCTAGATGATTCCGGCTGGCAAGGAGAACCGCGATCTCCAAAGTAACATCTAACATTAAAACAGATTGCCTTATGTAGATAAACAACTGACTAGGTAAAAGGACACATCACAGAACAGGGCCTAGTGCATTTCTTTGGTTTATATTTTCTATGGAGGATACTGTAAACATTCCAAATGTTTCATGTTTTACGTCCGGTACCGCCGTTCGGCAGTCCATGTAAACACATCACGCACATTAGCATAATATAATAACTGTAACAAGAAGGCCACGTCGTCACGGAGACTTTGTGGATGCTTATCGCGGTTAAATTGCAAGTTGGCGTCTGCAACGAGACGGTTGGGAACACTTTGCAGAAGATGCCAAAAAACCACGTCAAGACATCTGGCCTTCTGATGCTCTAACATCGTGTGGACGAGCCGGGAATAGGTTTGAAGGAACTAAACACACTGACAAAACCGTCCCACAGAGTTGTCTTGGGACACTCAACGGCTACGCCGTATGAATTACCTACCCTAAATGAACACTATAATTGTACAACGTTTACAAAGATACTGCAGCTTGTATAACGCGAAGGTTGAATATTATTAACGCATGCGACCAAACTACTACCGAAAGAAGGTGAGGGTAAGAGAGTTCTAAGACGTCTGCCTCAGCAGTTCCTTTGCTTGTTTGTTTACCTGCTGTTTTGTCAGAAAGCGAGCGTATGGCTAAAGGACTCTAGAGAAATTATTCCAACCTGAGGTTCATATGTCTCCGCAAGAATTATACTCTATGAAACATCGCTACTGATGATCTAAATGCAAAGCGGATGCATTGTAAATGAAACCTAAATAAAGGCTAGGACAATTCTTAGAAGTTGGATAAAGTGGTACGTTTAAGTCTGGATCACATCACATAGAGAATCCTAAGATAAAACTAGTTGTGATGAATAAAGCAGCGAAGCAAAGCATCTACATTGCATTGGACTACTTCTCCTATAGTTCCCGTTCCTTTTATTAGGACACACAAAAAGTCACCTAGCCTCTTAGCTTCTCTTTCATAGACACAAGTTATCTTGACTTCTATCTAAATTGTTATATAATGCGCATTATTAAAATGTCATATTACTAGCACATATGAATTTTAATTTTGTTTCCAAATAGATAATTAAATGATTGCCAGTTGATTTTATAGCATAGTCTTTGTCTGACGAACTGTGCGTTTACCTGTTCATTATTAGAGATCGGTATGCATAGATCACAAATTTTATTAATTACGTATGTATTATCATCCTTCTGACAAAGGATAGAAGCTAAGGTATGGCATGAAAGGCAGCTCGATCTATCTTATAGCTACCTTAAATCACGAATCTTTCTCTTTAATCCTATAGTATGTTTTATTTATGAAGTTACAAAAACGGACGACTTCTTAAAATTAACATTGGATTTATTAAGATTAGAAGAAACGAACTTATTCCGGAGAAAGTATTCATCGAATCGGCTTCATTTTCATCACGCACCCAGTAAAAAAAAACTGTCGTGACCCGTTAAAAATAAGCTCAGTCCAACAACTTAAAGAGGTCGAACAGCCGCATACTATAGCGGATTCAATTTATTAATTATTTTACGTGGATGGAACAATTTAACCTATAAACCTATAAACTTTTTCTAACATGCTTGCCAAGAAACTCAGCCAATTTAAGATCAGCCTTTCTTGGGAATATAATTTCTACAGTGATTTTTTAGTGTTGGCTGATTGACCTTGTTTCCAGAATGCGCGGTGGATCTCTGAAGGACGCATCGAACCAAGTTGGCCTTCGACCGATTTTTAGTAGATGTTGCCATTAATAGAGTTGGCTGATTTAGTGATTCTATTCCTGAGACGTCATTGAAGTTAAAAGATTTTTTATCCCCTTTTTTATCGTGAGCAACTACATATTTTACTACACGAAGACACATACATATATATTTGATTAAATTCATATGTTTCGTTTGATCCTGCTCCCGCAACGTCATCAAGGCCTAAGGACCTTTAAGTATTCGTTTAGTAATAACAATTACATTGACTAAAGAACAAGTATTTAAAATGTCTCGATTGGCCTACTGGTCTTATTTTTGATGATAAATATTTGCATCTCTTTTTTGACATTCTGGCGATTCTCTAAAAGTGAATTAAAACGTTTTCTAACGAATATCAACTCTACTTTTGCTGCTTTAATTTTTCAATTGCCATTTATTGAGGATTCGCTAAAATGACAGCTTGAAACGCATCCTCACCCCGTTATTACGTCGGCAAATCGATACGACCAATAAAATGTTAGCGATTTCACTTAAAGTCTCAATTTCAGGCATAGGTGCATGATATAGGTACAAAGAAACACATCCTGCATAAATCTCCACGTAAAAAAAATTTGCCTTAGTGTGAGCTAAATAAAAAAGCTACTACACTAGGTTTTTAACTTTCCGTGCCAAAATATCAATTTTAGCTGTAAGAAAAGATATTCCATTTCCACTCAACTCGTCAACATCTGTCAAATAGTGTAAAGAATTAGCGTCAATAAAATGGTGCTTTGCATGGAAAAAATGTTTGGCATTTTGGTGTTTGCTTCAAAAGTATTTTAAAGAATAATTTTGAAAAAAATTATTGAACTAAAATATTTTCCAGTTGATGTTAATCAATAATTCAATCTAGTTATAATTATTAATTATATAATTATTATTATATAATTAATAATAATTCAATCAAAAACGCTCAAATAAAGACATGCAAAGGTAGCTCAAAACGCATTTTTATCCTGTTGTCAGGTGGGCAAAGTAAATCCCTCAATGGATTCATACGGGAATATCAGTTTTAGGATGCGTATTGCATTCATTCTCAGCTCGTAGAAATATGCCGATTAACATCGACAAAAGTTTCACCGAAAAGTAGCCCTTTTCAACTGTTAGAATCTTCTGGTAGACATGTTTAAGAGTATCTTGCAAAAAAACGCTAAAAAGGACGAAGGTTACAAAAGACGACCCACTTGCCCTAAGTAACATCACATTCCAAAATAACTGCTGCTAGGCAAAAAGTATTTATCAAGTTATTTTTATCTCACGCGATGTCCTTCTCAAGTCGAGACTTTAGTGAACCGCGAAAAATCAGCGCACTCCAACTACCACGAGGAACTATTTGGATCAGACAGGACAACCAACAAGCGGGCAGAGCTTTATATATATATATATATATATATATATATAAGGATCGATGAGACGATAGCATTGACTTTTACTACTGTAATCTTCCTTTCTTTCGGCCATATGAGGAATTTCATCGGATTGTCTGTTTATTTTACTAGTGCAGTATATCTGTGCATCTTTACAAAAAATTAATTTTTTTTGCGCCAATGCTCCCAATAAAAGTCAACAATGCATATAGCAGTACAAATCACTCTAAATTCAAACTAGGTGTATACACGAGAAAAATATTTACGCTACTTCAAGCTAGCTACGTAATGCGCTGATGTAGATCTAAGAAGTGAAATTGCTTGGGAAAATATTGCTTCGCTTCAAGTGGGAATCCAACCCAGTATTATATGCTCGTGAGTTCTGACATCCATTCGCCTCCCTTACATAGTAGCAAAACTGGGTGTATTTATACGTATAGCCATTGATTATTTGTTGCAATATCTAGTGCGTGCGATGCAGGACAGCTTTAAAACCAGAGTCCCGTCAAAATGGCAGACAAATCATATCATTTCATTCATTTCTTTATTAGGAGAAGGTATCATGAGACGAAGACGAAAGCGTCGTTTGTTCTTGCAATGAAAAAGAAGAGTCGTCGTTCTTGTAGTGTGTTAAAGACTCTCTTAGCCCTTAGTCTTAATTAACTCGAACGGCAAACGAGCAGCAGGAAACAGCTACGCACAACTAGTCAATTACTTAACCATTCTAGCCGAAAATCGATCACGATACTAACGCTCTCCAACAAAGCAGCAATGTCAGGACACAATTTAGTTTTGTAGCAGTAGTAGTCTAAAGAAAAGGAAAAAAAGCTCCTCGTTTTTCTCATCAGTATCTAGTAAACTGCGCAGATATGCTGGATTAAATAAGTCAGATATCATGAAATAGAAAAAAAAACTAACTTCTACAAATGATATACATGGCGTGCCATCGCTTTGTCCAAAAGATTCACGAAACACACAGCTGTACGAAACATGATCAGATCGTGCCTGCTACTTGTCATTCCAACAAGCAACCCATTATAGCACTATGCAATTAGAAATATATATTTACAATAAGAAAAAGATATTTAAAATTATTATGTTGGTTCCTTTTGTTTTCGTTAATATTTGATATTTTTAAGCATTTTTTATTGATATTCATTTTTGTATATTGATGGAAAAATATGTCTAGACAGAAGGTTGGACACAACCAGTTGGAGGGAACTAGCACGAAAAGACGGAGAAGTGTGTTTTAAATCGCATACTCTATAACCCGTAGGCAATGACACCAAGTAATGGCTAAACTGACGCAACTAAGCCAGAAAAGAAAGCGATCAACAAAGATGATTTAGAGCGAACGAGAACTCTCTGTCAATACAAATCTAAATTCGAGTGACCTTTAAATAAATTATAGTACTTACGTTGAATTCTTATGCCAAGTCCAATAAAACCGTTGGCTGTCCTCCAATTTGCCGGGAGCTCGGTCAAGGATTACCAATGTCTCAAATCGACTCGCGGCTCTAAAATAGAAAAGTATACAAAATTCAGTCAACGGCATCGCTGCTATATAGAAGGCAATATGTTTACGTTCTCTTTGCTGAACGTCTCGAGAATTCGTATACGAATATGTTAAAAAGCTGTGCTACAATGTTACATTCCACTTATAGCTACGGAAATGTAACTAGCTTAATTTCAAGTTGATCCTAACTTGTTGTTTCATCTCAAGGTTTGGGAACGTTACTTTCTATCAGAGCTTTCAATATAATGCATTATCACTGTCTTTCTGCTCGCCACTTTGAAAAACTTAATAAGATAATTCGCTTAATAAGATAAATTATCTACTACATGCCTTGTACCACCAAGTATTTTCAGATACTTATCAATTTACATTAATTTATAATAGCTATTACATATGTTTGTGAAATATGAATAGTATCAAACCTTATAGTTGAGTAATGGCGATAGTTTGAACATTTCTCTTATCTAGTCAACATATATTGCCTGATTACCGAAGTATGCCAAAAATGCCCTATCCGAAAAAACCTCAAGCTATCGGTTTGAATATTACACATTCTATATGCGCCAAGTTGTGACTGTAGACAAATATATTTCTAAACTTTTATTCCAACAAATTTATTATTTTTTTAAATTTATTATTTATTATTAACAAACAGGTTATTTTTGCAAGAAAGAGAAGAACCGGTATTTACTGATTTTGGTACGTTTATTTTTTTTTACTAGTAAAGCCTTGCAAGCGACGACAACCTCAAATAATTTGTAACAGTGTAGGAACAGTGGTGGAATTCGGTCAACGAATGTATGTAGTTTTCAGATAACCGAATTATTGTAAATTTTCGCACCATTCTGCACAATAAATATAATTATTTATATTATAATATTATAAATTATAATATAAAACAACAACAATAATAAGCAAATAAGCCTTTATATAACGTTTAGATAACTTTCAATTGTTGTCGAAGTTTTATTATTATTATTCTTATTATTATAGTATTATTATTAAAAAAATAAATGATGTTCAAAGCTCCCAGCCCAGTCAAGCTAAGGACCTGCAGTTGTGGCAAATTTATATTAATTTTACATATATTAACGTAAAACTTGTTATAATCATTTGTTAATTATAACGGGGTCGGCAGATTTGACGTTTAAATATCATTCGAACTATCGGATTGGCTTATAATAGGCAATTAAGAGAAAGGAAAGAACTGTTTCTGTGCACTAAATATTTGCCATACTCCTCACTATATCTTAAACAGGTCCGACTAAAAATATTGAAAACATTCGTTCGAATGTAATCTACTGTTATTATTAGATTTAATAACGATTGAAAAAAGTGAGGTTTTCTTACATATCGGTCAGTGCTCTAACTAGCAAAACTGGGTATGAATATCGGCGACGACATACCCAAATACTCTATTTTTAATTATTTATCAATCAAATCATTCTAATAAACTCTAAGAAAGCTCTGCTTACTTCAATTCAGAATGGTGCCGAGTGATTTTTACTGAAGTTACAACGACCCGACAATCACAATAAGCAATAGAAAGAGCTAATAAATAATAATATTAAATTGCATCCATTATCCTCTAGAGTTTAATACAACATTGTTGACCAATCATTATTCGAGACGTTCTGAGAAAAGGTCGCTGTTTCAGGGAACGGAATTCGATGGGTCATAAAGCGGGAATCCCGTTTGTGCTGTTACCTCTGCCTGGAAATTTCTGACCCAAAAAATTTTACACACTGTGTGTATGGCAATACATTCGAGTACACCCCGTATGTCGAGGTTAACTTTAATCATAATGTCGGTAGCCTTTTCATTACCGTATTTCGTACCGTATACTGTACCGGACCTATTCATTTGCATATATCCAGCGTTTTCTATGTACTTTCTAATTGCTCCCTTTTTTATATTATATTTCCGATGTTTTTTTTGCTGATTTTATTCTGTTTGACTCTTTCTTACAGTATTCTTATTGCAATGTTATTAGTATTTCGTTGTTTTCAATAACTTTATCGCCTGTTCATCTTTCGTTAGAGTTCCCTTCGGTGGCTTTTGTTTATGAGTGTTTAATAAGAGTTCGCATTTGTGCGCTGAATAGTGGCGGGCTCTTTTTCGGATCCGATCATTATTGATTTTGAAAAAAAGAAAGAGAAGATGGCAAAAATCAAAGAAAAGAACGAAGGGCAAAGATACTACAAAAAAATGAAATCACACAAGTTGCAGGGACGGTACACACGTCATTGAAAAGGACAGCGGTTGCGGGCATATAAAAGAGACATTCAGTATCACAGTTAATTTTCATTTCGAAAAAGGCGAGTTCATCGCTCCATAGAGAGCCCGCACAGAATTTTATCCGCGTATTCTCTCTTTATAACTAAAACGTCAGTGTCTAGCTTGATGCTGATTTATTTGGTGATCCTTTCCCGTATTTTGCCCAGGGCTACATCATAGAAGACCGGTAGGGAAATGTGTAATCAGCTTGAATCATATAGGCGTGCAATAATAGAAGAACTGTGGTGGCAGAAGAGAATGCGTAGTCTATATGAAGTCAAATTATTGACTTTTTTTTAACACAAGAGGAATTCCTTTTTTGCTGTTGATCTTTTTTTCTTATCTAGAGAATTTCGTGTTTGCGCGTATCGGTATTGTACAAAATAAACATCGATAATATTGCCTTTTTTTTTTTTTTTACCGTAAGACAATGCTTGTCGATTTACCTTGAAACAGAAAAAAGTGAGAAGTATAGAGGAAATAGCATTTCATTAGTTCTATTTCATAAGAATATATATCCATGGCATTCATTTTCTATGATGTCTTCTGCCTACAGACCTTGTGCGCGACGGCTCGTGAAAAATTGTTACCTTGCCAAGACCACATGCATTGTAGACACTCAGCTACGAAGATCTACCCGAGCTAATCCTCGCGCCAGAAGGAGGACCTATATGTGAATATATATATACGCAGAGCATTTTTTTCAGTTCCAAAACACAGCGACAGTATTGATAGGTGAAACTTTTCTTTCATATAAAACATTTTATCAATTTCCGTAACGAATTTAACCTTCATTAAAGATGCTATGCTGTAATGAATATAGCATATGTATCGGCTCAGTACAAACAGCTAAGCTCTGCCCATTACGGGTTTTGCACAATAGAGTAACTCATTTAAACGTAAATTCAGGGTGGCACGTGTGCATCTCCGACTCACTAGATTAAGATTAGACCAGGTTAATTCGGCTCGCCATCAGCGGGGAGCGGGACGACGACGACGACTGCAACGCCAAAATATGGTTATATGGTTCACGGCCGGAGAAGTTGCTGCAACACTGAAACTCGACGGGTGTTCAGCAGGAAAAACGAATAACAATAAATAATTTATGATGCTCCTGCTACTGCTGCCGCTGCTTATTCGTCTGCAAACTGCTTCAACTAACGGGAAATCGTCTGCTTATATGAGATACAGCGAAGCTCGAGGATAGAACAGCTCTAGGCGGAGCTGCTACTGTAAAGGAGGGCAGAGGTACGAAAAAAGCTAGGAGAGAAGAAAACCTATGGTGTGCAGGCGATATTCACGACGACATGGGTTGCCACCGCAGCTTTGTTCCTGGCGATCCTCCGAAGATACTCGTTGTTGGTCCAGGAGAGTTCCATGACAAAAGCAAATGCTTAGCTTTTTGAAAGAGAAGAGCATCAGGTTACATTTTTGTTTCAAAATCTTCGCATATTTTAGGATCGGGTCCCTTTATTAAACAGCTTTTTACGGTGCTTCTACGAAACTTGGTGAGATTCACCAGAGCAACACCTTAACATTCCTCATTACTCAGGAAATATAGTTGTATATTCTTAATAAGATCAAATCTGCAAGACAAGTCGCGCACCTTAAAACATATCTCTAGATACGCCATTATTATTATTTTTTTTTTTATTACTTTAAAATGCAATAAACTAATTTTCGGTGAAAAAGATAGCATCCAATTCGAGAATCGCAGACGTACCTTTTCCTATTTCTTGAAAATATCTCAAATCCTTAAGTGCAATTTTCATTGTAAACTGTCCGCTTCGATAAAGTAAAAACATCAAACAATACCTAACCATTGGTCATTTTGAAGCTAAGTTTCCTGCCTCCACTATGACGAATTTATGATTTTTGTAAACCGCCTGCCAGGATTTGGCTAAACTGAAAGATTATACACTGCATATCTTAGGTGAATAAAAAATAAAATTAAAATATCATTCGTCTTCTTCAGTACGATGCTTTACCAAGCCTTAATAAACATGCCAGTGTACATATTGAAATAAGCAGAGGCTCATCGTGCGTGCCAAGGTTCACTCTTTATGTACATTACCTATCTAAGATAGAATATCACCCTAAAATACGTACGTTGACGTTTGCAGCATCCTGCGGGATGTCAAGGACGCACTGGCTACGGTTCATGAGCAAAGTAAAAGATAGTTTATTTAATAATTTGTCCAGCGCAATATGGGACATACTGAGCACGCTACGTATACTGTGGTGGGTGACTGAGAAGTCGCTATACACTTTTGGTTCTCCTATGCATATATAAAAGTTAAAAATTGTTATCAATATCAACGTCATGTACAACAGGGGCCGTCTTTTTTCTTTATTATTTCTACAGTTTCAAAAGCTGCGGATGACAAATGTATAAGTTGTTCTACGAAAGAAAGGCGCTATTCTTTTTCTCTTCTAGCCACTTGGTTCTCCGCTGTAGTTAATGGTCGTATTTCAATATGTTACGTCGAACCGTTATGTGCCTTGCTTTGCTTTAATATTTCTCTCTGTCCCCAGATTTAACCCAACTATGTATTTCTTTATTAGAAAGCGTTCACTGAGCGTGTACCCCAAAGACCGAACAGTACTGGGCACTAGCTGTGGGAAGGGGCACATTCGGCATATACACAGGTCTGCGCATCTCATACCGTCAAGAAGATCGAGGGCAAAAAAGTTATTAAGGGTGGCAGCGTCGACATCGGCCAC